AAAAATACTCAAGTGCTTTTGTTTGCCCCACACTACCATGTCCTGATCAGTACCATCCTACCAAAAGAAGGCAGGGATAGGTACAAGGACCAAGCAGGATGCAAACCATGGGGCAGTGGGGCAGTTTAAAAGTATAAATCAAATTATAAGTCTGTAATAGCTTCTAGGTCTCTCATTCAGATATATTTTTCATAACTTCAAGTGTTAACAACTACACACTTTTATAAAAGTGGATGCTACTTTTCTAAAATAATTAAAATTTTTATTTAACTTCTTAAATCAAATTTAAAAATTAAATTTATAAAGGATATATAAAGGTTGCCCTGATATAAAGGAAAAACAGTAACATGGTGATTTCTGGTTCGCATTATTTCAAAAAATTTAGGCAATGAATAATATAAAAAGCAAAGATTAGTTACCTGTAAAGTGTTCTTATGGTAAAATGGAAAAGAATTCCCATATATGAATTCTAAAATCATAGTTACCTTTATAGTTCATCAATCAGATGTACCCTGTCCTCACATTTAACTTATTTGTAAATACTTTTTCAAGACTACCTAAACACTTACTAATTGATTAAACATGTTTCCTATACTAATTCCTGTTAAAGAAATTAAAGTTTCATCTTTGTTTTGTGGTAGTGATGATATACTTTTAAAGTTTTGATTGTTTTAGAAAAGGTGTTTATCAGGTTCTTGAAACATTTTAAAAATGGCTCAAGGGACAATTTATAACCCTTTTATAACCACTTAAAAATGTTCACTATCTTAGATTTTGCTGGACAGATTCAGTTTTCTCCTTCTGAAACTCTTCTCATTCAAGAAACTACAGAATCTAAGATGTTATTAATATAAAAGAACAAATTTATGTTTATTTCTTATGTATCTTTAAACATATCAAAAAGAACATGTACTCCAGACAGTGTAAGTGAAGTCATTCATTAGGAATTTTTGTGAATGTGTATTTCTGTGTGTATGTGACACATAAAATTTCACATTATTTTAATTTCCCAAAGAATGGGATTCTAAATAAAAGATACTAAAACATTTCTAGAAGGATGATTAGTTTGATTACATAGTTCAAGAGACAAATGAATACTGAAACAAAACTTCAAAGACAGGTATACAAAAATATTTTAATTGCCTGGTTTTTCAAATCTCAGTTAAGAGAGAAGCAAAACATTTAATTTAGAAAACAATTTAATCTTTAGAAAGATAAATTTCCACAATGCCAAACCAAACTGTATATAGTAACAATCAGGACTATATTAAAAATGAAGGAAAAGACCCCAGATTTTATTGATACTAAAACATGAAAAGTATTGTTAAAAAAATTTAAACTATATTGTTAAAAGCACATTCACTGATAAATTTAAGTGTAATATGTATGCTTATTAAAGTATTTTTGTTACAATAAATATATGGACATAGAATGTTATCAGTAGTACCCACACCTACAAATCATCTTCCACAATCTTTAAATTCTTTACAAAATTTTGAATAGCAGAATTAAGCATATAAATTTTAAATAAGAATCTCTAAGAGGTTTCTGTAATTCTAATTGAAATAAAAATTTGGACTATACAATATCCCTTGATTATTGGTATAATTTAATAGCTTCAAACAAAGGTTGTTCAACAATTAATATTTTGAAGGCATTAAAACCCTTTACTACAAACAATTCAAATTAGATATTATGCTGTACCTTACCAATATTGGACTGTCTAAGGAATTACAGATTTTATATTTCTGTAGTCTGAGTGCATTTTCTAATTCAGACAAGTAGCTAGTTGTGTAAAACCCCAAAATGAAGCTTTATAGCACACTAAGTAACAACAACAACAAAAAATCACAATATCAGCACTTTTATTTTAGGGTGACAACAAACCAGTCATGAGCTGAATCATCTCAACAACCTAAAAGCTCCAAGATCTAATATAACTGGAAGAAATACTTTCCCTTCACTTTTATAGACTGAATTACTGATACTAGCATCTCGTTTGTCAAAGTGGCAACTACTCAAGACCTCAAAGTCTCATTTATTTTAAATGTAAAACACAATTTTGATTATAGCCAGTAAAATTGTCTTGAGCCCCAAAACAATGAAAAAGTGAGATAAAACTCAAAAGTTTATCTATCAAGTACTGATGGCATTCTGAATCCTCTGGACAGAGGCTTATGTGAAGAGTGTTAGTCTTCTCAATTAATAGGTTAATCACTTTCTGATCAATTTTGATGGAACAGTGGTTCATGGTGTTATATTTTTAAATTAATTCTTGGAAAGTTGTAATTGTTCCCAAAATAAGCAACCACAAAATGATGGACCCCAATACTTCAGATGTAATGTTGTTATGGAGATATTCACAAAATGACACTGACAAGAGTTCAATTCTAAACACAAGTCACTATATCACAGACTATCAAGTTTATTTACACAATATGGCAAAAATCCCTCCACTCTACACAAGAAGCTTAACAATTTAGCTATAACTTTAATCCATTTCTATAAATTGTAAAAACAAAGGGAAATAGGGGTTTATTTCAGAAATACCATATATCTATGAAAAAGTAACACTAGTAATTTCTGTTCAAGATTAACCTTAATCCCACTGGAGAACAGCTAACAATTTATACAGCACATTTTACATTTTGAAAACACTACACATATCCAAAACAGAAGACAGCTGTGATCCTGATAAGTAACATAAATTCAAAAGATGCAAACTGACAGGTCTCAGGATTTTAAAGTATTTTCATTCCAAAGGCAAGACATTACAGTATACGAATAGGCTGGACTTTAAAAATGAATACACATGTAAAGTTTTCCATGGTCTTGGTGTATGTGTCCCCTCAAATGCCTACTGCTTATCCTGTAAAAGAATCTACACCACTCTGTTTTCAATTTCCAATTAGAAGTCTTCAATATACTTGAAGCCAAATTGATTATCAGGTATTTTACAGCTTTTACAAAATGGCTGTAAAATCCTATTATGGGCATACATTGCTCTTTGATCTCACTGCACAGAATTCATAACTGTTCAGTAATGCTATACCATTACACCACATACCTTAAAGTATTTCCATTTTTCCACAATTCCTCCCCACATCAGCTTCCAAAGCAAAGCAATATAACATGAAAAGTACCTGAGAGGGCTTACTACACAAAAGAACAGCTTGGATACAAACTAAGCCATACACATATCCATCTTCTGTTCAGCTTGTTTATCCCTCCTCTCCCTCCATCATTCCTAAAGGTGAGTGCACTGAGTAATGGAAAGAGAAGGCTCTTCCATCACCACACCCTCCCAGCACCTCTGCAGAGGTCCTCTGACAGTGAGTCTATGTAGGTGATGAAAACCACAAGAAAAAAGCAGCTGTCCCTTTAAAATGCCCTGCTCTGTCCTACATCCCACGTGGAACCAACATCAGCAGCACTTTCCCATTAACATCAATGTGATGCAAGAGGCATCATCCTTTTATATAGATAAAGCCAGAAAACCTCATCCTAACATTCCTTGGTGAGGATGAACAGGTGAAGCAAACGTGTCAGGAAGGAAGGAACCAAGCAACTCCCCACCCCTCCCCAAAAGGTACACCAGTCTCGCACTCCACTCGCTCTGGGCAGTAACACCTCTCTACCCCTCTTCGCAAGAGCCCAGTTTAAAGAAAGGAGGCAGCCACTAAAGCTCCCTGAAGCACAAATGCGACGAAAATGCGATCTAAAGCCGGAAAGGTTTATTCTTCCAATCACACATATTAACTCTATTAAGAAAATGGCATCACTTTCTTTCCACTAAAAAAAAAAAAAAAAAAAGCAGCAGCCCAAACCTCGCAAAGATCATTAAAAAGGAGTTATAAAATAGCAAATACAGTGTTTATCTTATCTCAGATCAGTCCACATTACCAATAAGTTCAGCAGTTTCTGCACTACCACCTCCCCCCTCCCTCCCCCTGCTTCTCTAGCATCGGATTTTCACGTTTTCTCATTGTCGGTTGAGTTATAAAAGGCTTTTGCTCTTCGAAAGTTTTAAAAAATAAATAAATATTAACTCCTTGGTCTCTGCAAAGTCAAAATGGACTTCAGGGGAAAGGCGGTTCATACTTTTACCTTTAGCGAGAAAAGGGGGAGCATCCCGGATTTTTAGGGATTTTTTGCGATTTTTAAAAAATTTTTATTTGGTTATATGCCTGAGTTCTCCCTCCATTTTGGTTGTTTATGATACTGACAACAAGCTGTCCCTGCTCTGTGCCGATCTCCTGCTTTCATTTAGCACCCCCTCCCCCTCCCCCCTCGCAGCCACACACCCCGGGCTCACACCTCCCCGCAGACCCGCACCCCGACCCCGACTCGCCCACCTGAGGAAAGGGCAAAAACAAATTCATTTCTCCAGAAAAGAAAAACCTCTTTTGAAAAAGGGGCAAAGTTACCCCAAGTCACTCAAAGTGCCCCCCAAATATTGCCGACTGCGGCTTTTCGACAGGCCCTTTGGGAAGCGACCTTCCTCCGGGATGTTTTGGTGGAAAATGCGGAGAGTTTACTCTCAAAACTGAATTTATATTAATTTTTCCCTTATTTTTCGGGTCTCTAATGTCTTCCGCTCTCGCTGCTGCCGCTGCCGCTGTCACAATATTCACAGCACCAGAGAGGAGGAGGAGGAGGAGGAGGAGGAGGAGGAAAACTTTTCAAACTTTCCAGACCCTGAATAAACGTGTTTTTTTTTTTCCCACCGACCTCACCTTCGGGTCCCCAGCCGCATCGCCCCCTGCCCTGTCAGAAGCGACTCTGGGAGTCCTCGCAGCCCCACCTCACTATTTTATTTTATTTTTATTATTATTTTTCTCTCTGGGGTCCTGAGCAGGGGCTGAGAGTAGCACAAACTTTTCCTCCTCCTGCCGCCGCCTCTGCTCCTCTGCCCCCTCGGCTAGTCCCATAATTTAAATAACCCTGATATTTCTCCCGCTAAACGCCTCTCCGCCACCCCGGACCCCGGGAGAACTCACCGCGGGGCTTTAACATCCTCCCTCCGGCCCGTCCGCCGCCTTTACACTGCCCGCGGAATTTCTAATAATTTTTTTCTCATATTTCGGGCTGGACGCGGCGGGCCTGGAAATTGTTTCCTTACGCCTCTTTCCAGCAGCCATTGTAGTGTATGCGCTGCCCCTGCAGCCCAACTTGCAGCTGCCGCTGCTCGCCGCCGCCGCCGCCGCCGACGTCGCGCCCACCGCCGCCTCCCCCGGCCTCCTCGGCCACCGCCCCCGCCTCCCTGCGGCCCGCCCCCGGCCCCCACCCACCTCTGGGCCCGCCCCCCTGAGCGCCCTCCGCCCCGGGACTGACCACTGGGCGCCGCTGCCGCCGGAGACCCGCACGTTCATTGGTCGAAGATGCTGCCCATCAAACCGAGGTGTTAAGAAGCAGGCCGCAGCGCTGGGGGCGCGGCGGGGCGGGAGTGGGGCGTTTCCGTGAGCATCTCCCCGCCCACTCCTCCCGCCTCTGCCCTCCTCCCGCTTGGCGGGGGCGGGGCGACACCCGCCCGCCCCCGCCGCGCAGAACCCTGCGCGCCTGTCAGTCTCGCAGCGGGGCACGCCGATTGGGCGGGCGGCCGCTGGGCCGCGGGGGCAGCACGTTGGGATGCGCGCTACTTAAAGTCCTGCTGCGTGAGCTATTGACGTGTTTGGAACTGGAGGCTGCCTGGGTGCTATAGAAGCGTCAGCTCGAGGTGAGTGGTCCCCCGCCCTAATCTCCGCGGCTGCTACAGGAAAGCTGGAAGAGAGGGGCATAACTGGGCCATCGCGGGGTCGGAGACCACTTCCACGGCTCCGATACTTCCCCGCCAAGTCTCACAGTGACGCGGACCTTTTCCTGTCTCTTCTCTCGCCACGCGGGTCTTTTTGGCCAGGATTAGCAAGCAAGGTGACCTCTGCGAGGTCCGGACACCTATCGTTTTCCTTACCCCTCCTGCTCTCCGGCATTTGAAGCGCGGTTGTAACTTCCTCCCCCTCCCCCGTCTCTTGTTTGCGGGGTTTTCCCGGTCCCCGGCCTGTTCCCCCCGCCCCCGCCCCGCCCCGCGGGCCAAGCTAGGTGTGTTCACCTGTGCCCGCCGTCGGAGAGCGGACGCTGACCTGCGGCACGCGCGGCCTTGAGTCTGCCTGCGTCCAGCTTTCCCTTCGGCCTCCCGGCTCTCTAGTGGGCACCCTCCACGCGCCTGGCCCTCTGCACTCGGCAGGGGTTAACGGCACAGTGTGTGTCTGCTTCCCAATTTAACACAGACCCAGCTTGGGCTCTGACTAGCCAGTGGGCCTGGCCGAGTTCCGCGAGGGCCCATTTCCCCTTCCTCTGCAGAGCTGCTTCTTGAAGAATGGGGCCGTGAGCAGCTGTATGAGAAATCAAGAACTGTGTTAACGGCGTTGCCTGTTAGAATTATTTTTCAGATGCGCCTTCCTTCAAAAAAAACTTATTTTTTTGTGATTTCTTTCTGCTAGTCCTTCTGCAAGCTTTGTAACTTTTGCCTGTTGCTATACTTTCAAAAGTAGATGTGGTCTCTAATGGAGCCCTCGGTCCTGTTCTTCAAGGCTGCTTGCTGTAAATTGACATTACCTGTTCTTTTCCTGTATATTAACAGGAAAAGATAATAGGAAGATAATAGGAATCATGCAAAGGAGGTGAGATTTGGAAATTCAAACTTAGAGTTGTATTTAGAATCTGGAAGGAAAATGAAATGCAAGTAGATTCGTGCAGCAAACGTGATCTCCATGTATGTGATGTTATCTAAGTATTAATTTTAAAGAATTTCTGACTGGGTGATAATAAAATACAGAATCAAATATTTTCATGTAAAGCGCGGAACTTCAATTCTGTGTCTGATCGTTGAGATTATTGTTGTCAGGATATGTGAACACCTCAGCAGAGTTCTGGGCTTTCACATCACAGGATAGATGTGACAAAGAAGACTGTAAGTTTACTTAGTGTTGTTGTTTCTGCAAAAGAATTATGCTGAAAGGATTGTGGTCCTGTGAGGAAGAAATGTAAAGATATAATTGAACAGCATCTTGAATGTCCTTTCTACCAAGGTGTTTCTGTTGGCTGGGTATTTTCATGTGGTGTTCAATAAAAGTTATAAAATGATCAGACATTACCAGAAGTTAAAGGATCCCACCCTTTGCAGAGATTAGTCTCCTTTAGCCAAATATCCTGATTCCATAATAGAAGAAATTGATCTGGGTGACTTGATCAATAATACCTCTTATCAGGGGCTCATGGGATTTGATTGTCCTGAATACACTTTATTTCTTTTAACATAATTGATAATTTTTCTGAGCTTGTCTTGGACAAGGAAGGTTGAAGCTTTTCATACAAAAATTTTGACCTCTGGCTATAGTGTCCAGTGCATTTTTTTATTCAGTTGATTTTTGTAAGTCAAATTACATTATTTGCTGGCTTCTTTTTTGATTTTTAGGTAGAAGAATGATTACACTGGAACAGGGCTTGGGATTATAAGCCCATCAACTCCTTAAATTTGGTTCAGAGCATTGTAAGGTGTAATGGGTAGTTTGTCAGTAATAATCTATTACATTGAAAGCAAAAAAAGAAAAGTCACTTGAAAATAATTGACCATTACTTTTAAATTTTCTCTTGTCTTTTCTATAGTATTTTTTTTTTAAGGTGAAAGACATACTGGTTGTAGTTGAACTTCATTTTGGAAAGCAATTGTCCTGGAATATGGTTGCTATAACTGTTACATAACTGGTTCTTAGGGAACTGATCATCTGTAGTCAATAAAACTTGTGATGATGCACTAAGATTTGAATTGGAACATGTCTGAGCCACATTAACATTCCTTGATTTCCTTTAACCCATGGAATTACCAGTTAAATCCAAGATGCTACTGGGAGTAAAAATTTTTAACTTTTTAAAAAGTTCTGGGGCTTCTCAAAATATCAGCTAAGTAATAATTTCTCTTTGTTATATTCATTATAGGGTAAGCACTGTGTTACTTTTGTTGGTAAATATTTTTGCTAGTCACCATATACTGTTACTGTTTATTTTGAGTTTTGGTCACTATTTTAAGAACAACTAGATTTTGTTAGTGTAGTTACAAAACCAGAGTAAACTAACAGAAATTATAGTTGAACTTTCGTATTGAACATTACAATCAAGTTTCAGTAGATGCATTTCAATATGGCCCTTGTGTTGAGGCACCCTAGCAACCCAAAGGGCAGCATAGCTAAGTCTATTAAAGTACAGAGAGTACGTAAAGTTTTTTGCCAGGTGATCATTATGCCAAAATTAAAGTTTTTATGTACTTGTAGGGTCAGTGAGCTTTTAAGTTTTATTTTCTGTTATCCACTGCCTAACGCATTTTGTTTTGTCTCCCTTCAGCAAGAAGATTTAGGATGCCTGTGGTGACAAAGAGACTGAGAGATCCTGACATAAACCCTTGTTTGTCGGTAGGGAAGTTTGCTTTGCATTTTCATTTTGGGGCATCTGTTTTCTGCAGGTTTTGAATAAAGTTCTATTTGTAAAAAATGCTTGATCAGCGTATTTTATTTCACAAGAGCATTTTCCGATGTTCATAATTTAGACAGAATTGTTTAGTTTTATTTTTAAAACATACATTGAGTTGTCACTGTACGACTAGACAAATATATGTAACACTTAGGAAAATCTTTAATCCAAACATTGAAAACTGGAAGGTACTACAGGTTTAAGTTACCACTGAAATTTGTAGTTTTAAGGGCAGTGATTTCATCATGTCCTTGAGACAACCTGGCTAAGAGTAATTAATAGGCCGATAATAAAATTAGCCTATTTGGAAGCCTGAAGATTTTCACAGAGCTATCTTGTAAACAGAGTTAAGTTTTTATTTGGGTTAATGTGGACGACTTCTAAACTTTTTTGTGGCTTGCCCTTGCATAGTGTTGGTGCTGTGAGCAGTTGTGCTCCCTAATCTTACATGCGTTTGTAAAAAATAAATACTCATTAAATATTTGGTGCAGAAATTCAGCTTTGTTCATATATTAAAGCCAGTTTTCAACAGCTTTAGTAAATAAATCTGTTAGATAGAACATGTTTCTGAGATCTGTGAAACAAATTACCTGCCTGCTTATTTAAGACTTTCTTACGCATAACGTCTCATAATCATGCCTTTCACTTTGAAGTTTGTTATCCAATCTGCTTTCAGTTCACACCGTTTAAATTTAATTCTCAAAGGGTACCTACCCTTTAAAACTAGCCCTGTGTTGCTCAGTTTGGTTTAAAGTGATATTAATAACTATTAAAATTGCTTACATAATATTGTACTTGTGTAACAGTGTAAATGATAGCCAAAAATGCATTAAGATGAGTGGTGTTAATTTAGGTTTCCTTGATGTAAACCACTTATTAGCAATTTACTTGGAATCTGTAAGCTAGCCAGCATTAAGATCAAACATCGAGTGAGCATGAGAATCGGGAAAGTCGACAGCTCTGGTGTGAGCTGGAATATGGTTTCTGGGCAGTAGTGATTTTGAAGTGTATTATGTCTTGCTTCACTTTCTGGATCAAATGATCACAGCCAGTGCTTTGGCTCATACTCCTTTGATCAGATACTCAGAAAACTGGCTGAGACTATGAAAAGGAAGATGTCTACCCCAACAGAATGAATTCTGGGGTAATTGCCAAGATTATTCAGTTTTTATTAGTCTACCTATTTGAACAAAAATAAACCATTTGACATAGCTTTAGGAGGAAAGCAGTTTCAGAAGGTTCTGTTTTTAGTCTTTTTTAGATACCATTCTGCCTTATAAATGATTACTCTCTTACATATTTAAGGAGTCTGATGCTTCTACCAGATGTATGGATGAAAATAACTATAACAGGGAGAGGTGTTCCAGTTACTTCTTGAAGTACAAAAACTGTCGGAGATTCTGGGTAAGCCTAGCCTGGTGAGCTCCCTGTTAAAACCTGCCTCCTGAAACTGGGGCCTGAGATCAGTACCCACAGTTCTTTCCTGGTGTAGGCTGTAAGGAAACAACTTTCCAGCCTTCATCGTACTGTGTCAGCCCTAAAGAATCCTTGAGAGAGTTTTCTTAGTTGTTTTCTACTACTCTAAGGTACAAGAAGGCAGTTTTAATATAAAGGAGTCTTTGTGGGTGTGTAAATACTTGTGGCCCTAAAACAATAATCTTGATGGATATTTATACATATGTATGCACATATATAGAGAGAGATCCCATATCCTCTGTCTATCCCATATCCTCTGTCTATCCCATAACGTAGATAGCAGAGATTCTTCAGTGTACTATGTGCTATCACACACCACTTTAGACTTCCATTTCTTGGCTTTTTCCTCACTACCATTCATGGTAGTTAAAATGGTCCAACTTTTTTCAAGGCAGTGATATGTGATTCGTTTCTCTGAACTCTGAATCTGCCACTTCTTTTCTCTTTGATAACTAGACTGAGAATGACTTTAGCACTTACGTAGCAGCTCTTGGTATCCGATATACATTCTTGTGCTCTTGTACTTTCCTTGCCCCAATTAACATGTATCTGTAGGAATACTCACTGCTCTTTAAATGTTAATAGTTTGAAATGTTTAGTCTCTCAGAACTAGATAATAGGTTTCTTAAGCTAAAGTTTTAGAATTTTTGACAAAGTAGCAAATTACTTACAAATGGTATATACTATTTAATAGTGGACTGATCTTGGTTTCTTTTATGCTTATACACAGAATTCTGTCATGGTGGAAAGAAGACAGAATGGAGTAAAGCCATTTATGCCTGCAGCAGCAGAAAGAGCTGAAATCTTGGGAGCAATGGGAAAGATGCCCTATTGACTGTTTGCATTAAAATTGATTATATAACTAGAAGCAGGTGAATATTTTTTATACGTGGTTAATCTTTTTAAAACTCGACTGGCTTCATCCAAACAGATTTTAAGTTTTACAGGGGATAGAATTCAGTTAGCTCTATATCCTTGATATTTGCCCTCCCTGCCATCATGGTGCTGAATCACTGCCATACTCTACTTAGAGGTCAGGGAAAATTGAAGGACTGTAAGAGTTGAGCTTCTCTGTGGGGTCATAAAAAGAAACGTGAACAGTCAAGACTTAATAGGGTAGACAGGAAGCACTTTCTATGGAAGGGAAGTGAGGTGAGCATCGGCATGGTAGGAAAGCGTGAACCACCTGATGTCTGAAGTGAGTGGAGCCCCGTATTCTGGGAGCTTGAAGCAGAAAGGTGACAAGTTCAGCCTGGGAAACTTTGACTTTGTGAGAGCCTGTCTCAAAACTTAAAAAAGGAAAAGGCTTGGGGCTGTGAGTAATGGAGAAGGCCTGGGAGTGAGTCCCCAGCACCAGCACCTGGAATGGTGAACTGTGGGTAAGGTGAGTGGTGTCATTAGTTTCTGGCCCTGGCGTCTCTGTGTCTACATCGCTCATTTATATTTGTTTGCTGATACACTTAGCAGGACTGAAATGCATGTGGAAAGATTGGCCAAAATAATGATGTGAAAAAGAATTGATGTCATTAAGTCAGGATTCTGAACTGAAAAGCCACAAATTCAGCATTACATGAACCTTTAGTCTTAAACCATGGAAATAAAAAAAAAATGAGTTCTGTTAGAAGCAGGATTTGTATTTGCAGGAGGAAAGAGATAAGAAACACTGGGTGATCAGGAAAATTCAGTACTAGGATGAGACTGGGGTTTAACTTCATTTATAATATCAAAATAATGATATTCAGCATGGTATGGTGGATCATACCAGTTTCCTTTTACCCACTACATTTTAAAATCAAGATTATTTGCATCTTTTAATAAGAGTTAATTATTTTAGAAAACCAATGAAAACAAATTCCTGTATCTTATCATTTGGTACTCTTGCCAAGAGCATTATTTTCCTGGTTGGTGATGATGAATCGAGACCAAAACCCAACTTAGGTATTTTTAAGTCTCATAATCTTGACTTTTTTATCTCATTTTTTTATTAGTACATGTTTGCAGTTCATAATGTTTACATTTCTTATGTAAAGATGGTACATGAACATAACACATCTTAATTCCTTTTTACATCTCCTTCATCTCCATCTTGATTTCCTTTACATTTTGAAAAAGATCCCTCTCCTTTCTTCCTGTTACCTATTTTTTTTATTTTTCTATTTATATTCTTGATTTCTCATATAAGAGAAATTATGCCATATTTAAGCTCGTATGTGTGATATATTTCACTTAACATAGTTTCAGGGTGCATCGAGTTTCCTACAAATGATTTAGATTTATCCTTATGGCAGAGTAGTAGTGGATTGTGTATATATACCATGTTTTCTGTACCCACGTTTCTATACCCACGTTTTCTTTGATGGATATAGGGCTGCTTCCAAGGTTTAGGTATTAGGAATTGTGCTGCTATAAACATGGGTACACACATACTACTGTAACAGTATGGTGTCTTTTAAGCCTTTTGGAACGATATCTAGGAGACTAGCTGGGTTAAGTGGAATTTCTGTGTGTGACTGTGAAGACTTTGAGGAGTCTTCAGAATGATTCCCATAGTGGTACTAGTTTACATTCTCACCAACAATATAGAAGGGTTCCTTTCCCCTGCAGCCTTGCTTGCATTTATGATTTGCTTTCTTGATGCTATCTGTTCTTTCTGGAGTAAGATGAACTCTGTTGTTTTGCAATTCTGTAATGGTCAGCAGTGTCAAACACTTTTCATATATTGCCTTTTCTACTTCTGAAAAGTATGTCCATTTCAGCTGCTGTTTATTGAATATGATTCTATTTGAATTAAAAATTATTTCAAAATTTCTTTGTATTGATTGCTGTAAAATGGCAGGTTATAATATGATCTGAATAGAAGTACTACATACTTGTGAGAAATATTTCAGTTATTTAAGGATGTGTAAGAGTTCAGAATTTTAGTGTCGTTGCTTTGAATGAATGTACATATCAGTACCCACATTCACTGGTGTAGCTCTTACTTTTCATTTATTAGTGTTACCACTTTGGTTTTTTTTTTTGCTAACCATTTCAGATACAGACATGGATGCCTTCCTTACCATTGGTGCCCTCCTGTGTGCAGATTCATTTCTTCCTTGATATGTATCCATAAGGTTGAATTTCTAGGTCTGTAGTAACTCTTCAAATTGTTGAGGATCTGACCCTTTCCTGAAGTAGCTGCCCTATTTGACAGTTCTACTAGCAGGGTATCAGAGTTCCAATTGGCCCACATCCTCATGATGACAGTCACACGAGTGGATCTGAACTGCTACCTGCTTTGGTTTACCTTGAGTTTCCCTGAAGCTTGATAAATAACTTGTTGAGCCACTTTTTAGTGAGAATTTTGGCTGTTTGTGCAATTTTGGAGAAATGTCTATTTAGATCCTTTGCCCATTTTAATTGGGTCTCATTGAATTGTACAATTTTTATGCATAATAGATATGATATAGGAGCTACGTGATATGCAAAAACTTTCTGTTAGTTGTATTTTCACATCACGGTCTACGGTACCAGGGACTAAACTCATGACCTTATGCTTGCCAGGCAGGCGCTTATGCTGCTGAGCTAAATCCCCAGCCCTTATGGTACACTTTTCAACCCAGAAGTTACTTCTGGTGAATGTGAAGCTAAACAGCATGACCTTTTAAGACGGTTGTTAATCTCTGCATCTCTTCAGAATGAAATAGCAATTTCAGAGGTTTTTTGTTTGTTTGTTTCATTTGTGCCATTTCTAGGAAAATATTACCTACTGTTAGATCACAGAAATTTATATGTGTTTTCTTCAAAGAGTTTTATCTCTCCTGTTTAGGTTTCTGATCATTATAAGTTAATTTTTTCATATCTTTTTTCCAGTTTTTGTAGCACTGTACATTGAAAAGGGCTATTCTCCCCACCCCCAACTGAATAATCTTAGTACTTTTGTTACAGATCAGTGGGTTGTACATAAGAGTATTTTTCTTCACTTTCAATTCCATTGATCTATATTTTAGTTATACTTGTCCCAGCACCACCCTGTCTTGGGGACTGTAGCTAGGGCATACCTTTTCAGTGACTGGTTTTTGTGTATGTTTTCTATGAAATGATTTAGTGACAAACTGTTTTAAGATTTTTGATCAGCAAACTCAATATATGTATGTATACTGGCTTCATGCTGGCAAAACTGTTGGGTTCTAAGTTCATTTTCATGATACTCTGTAATTCCTAGTTAGCTTCTTTATACCTCCCTTAATAATTTCAGTAAGGGACTCTGATTATACTACCTTAGAGAGACAGAGTCCCAAGCGTTTTACTCATCACTATTGTTAAATTTGTGATTATTGTGTTTCTCTTTCCAACATTCTACTTTGGGAGAAGTGAAGTTAATTAACTTGATAAATTAAGTTAGGATGTTAGTGGGTGCCGTGAGAAATTTGGCATCGGACAAGCCTTTGTTATTCACTGTCAAGTAACAAAAACACAAATTTTTTTTACCGTATTCATGTTCATCTCTTGTAGGAAGCATCTCATTACGCATTCTCACTGGGATGTACAGTGTGTCTGTAGTATGTAAAAGCAATCCTTTTGATAATCACTGTATTTATTTGTAAGTTCCTGGAAGACAAACAATATCATTCCTGCTTATACTCATAATGTCTGGTCTGAATCTAGTATGTTATAAATGATCAACAAATGTAAATGTGTGAGGAGTTGGTGGCTTTTAAAATTGGAAAAATGTGCAGATTGAACAATGCAGAGCAGTGGATGGTATACAGTAAGTCTTCCCTGGAAGCACTCAGTGTCGGGAGCTTTTGGATCTTCCACGATTGTGTGTATTTGCTTTCACCTAAGGAGCATCATAGTACATGATGTGTGGCTATGGCACTTTGCTTTTTTCTCTAACCGATGCAGTTTGGAATAATTTTTTTGTAACCAGGATTATAGAGTTACTCCATTTCTGACAGGAATTGTTTTTCCACTGTACAGTATACCATCACTGAACAGATCTATGGCTGGACCTACTGAAATAAAGTCACAACAATTATTACTGAACCTGGGTCTTTGTCCTGCATGTTTTTATCAGTAATGTAAATTTCTGAGTGCGACCCTTAGGTTAAAGGCTTCTGTATTTAAAATTTTGTATGTGTTCACCAATAGGTTTGCCCTCCACGGAGAAGAGCATCAGTTTATACTCCCAGAAAGTAGACAGTGGTTCTTTCTGGACCCCTTGAGTCCAACTATTTTGAAATGCTTTCATTTTTACCAAGCTGAAGAGTCAAAAATTGAGCAAGTGTGTGTGTTTCCTTTGTTCAGTTTTACTTTTAGATTATTGGTGTAAATAGTGGGAGAGACCATTTTTATATTAAGGAAATTGCCTCTGTTGTATGTGTAGTATTCTATATTTACCAGTTTATCCTTTAATTTTTTTGACTTTTAAAACTTTCTGCCATGTGTTATTAAGTTACATCAGTCTTTCTTTTTGTGTTTTCTGTGTGTCAAGAACATTAAAAAGTCCAAGTCCAAGCACTGTTATTACAGTTTAGTTCTGCTCAACAAACATTTGTGAAGTGAGCGTCCTGTGCAAACGCTAGGCTAACAGTGGAGGAGATGGGTAAGTCAGCACCCGGCTCTCAGACAACTTCGCTGTGTTGGCGAAGACACTGCAATAGCAGCACTGTAGGATAAGAGGACACCTCTAAAGGGGGAAGTAGCTTTGTTAAGCTAACAGGTCATGCACGTGCCATATCTGCAGAGCTCTTACTGATTGAAAGCAGAGTATGCAAAGGGGGTAGCAAGGAAAATTAGGATGAAGGTAGACTAAGAACACTAACAGCTGCTCTTGGTACTTTGGACCGAACTCTAGCCATAAGAGAAAGCTAGGAGGGTTTTGAGATGCAGAGGGTTTAATCCAGTGTTCCAGAAATTACTCTGGACAGGGTATTAGAATATTTCCAGATCCTTGCAACTTTCCTATTTTCCCCCATTAACTTTTGTCTCGCTCCAGTTTCTTCTTATGGCATCCAGGAGCATCTTTCTAAAATGTGAATGCAGTGATTGTTCTGCTTAAAATTCAAAGACCTGCCACCTTCTCAGGCTAATGCCTGGATCCCCCACCCTCACGCTCTGGTTTACAGAGACTTCTGAGACCTGGCCTGTTAAGGGGATGGGTTGGAGGTTTGTTCTTTTTGGACCAACAAACCCAGCCATCCTCCATAGCCTTAGTTTTCAGAGGAGAGACGAAAGTATCCCTTTCATATACAGCATCTTTCCAGCACACTTCCCATCCCCATGGGCACCCTGTTTTCTGATTTTGGATAGCCGTACCCTGCCTGCTGCAGGCACCCTATGCATTCAGGCTCAGTTCACAGAAATTGTTTCTGAAGCCTTGCCAGCATCCTGGGTAGGGTTCATGACATCCCTTCATTTTATTTAGTCTGCAACAGTCTCATCAGCGGCAATCACTGTGTGATGGGTAGATGGGTATCGGACTAAATGTGGAAAGATTAAGCAAATGAAGCCTCTGTAATGCACTTTTTCTCTCATTTTTATTTTTCAGAGGAAGAATATAAAAGTAAAAACACAGTTTAACCATCAAATGCTTTATTCCAAAAGAGAAGCGAACAGAGGTAGAACTGTTTTGCTTTTCAGTTACAAACAAGAATGGTTTCCATTGACAAGTTTCAGTCTTGGGAGCGGTTTCTCCTGTCGTTGGCTGTGTCTTGCATTGACAGCCTGCAACTTACAGTGGGTTTGTGAGGTTTGCAGCCAGGCTGCCTGGCGCAGTCAGCCCCCAGAAGCCTGAAGGATTTCTCACAGAGCAGCTGGGCTTTTCCAACGACTGGATGGTGCAGTACTTGAGGAAATGTCAACTGTGCTTCAGAACACCTGCTCTTCTCCAGGGAGAATTAAAGTACATTTAAAAGTCTGTTCGCTTACTAAAAGTCCAGTCTACAGCAGTCACTTAAGTGTGCCTTCAGTTTTTTCTGTTCTTTTTAATGACCACCTTGTTTAATGACCACCAATAAATAGGCTCTGGATCACCTCGGATGCTTTTTTCAGCCCAGGGAGTCTTCCTACACAAATGAGAAGAATGCAAGTGATTTTGCAGCAATGTACCTTGGTGGGGAGAGGGAAATGGAGCAAGTTACCTGGAAGGCCAAGCAGGGACGGAGGGAGGAGATGAGATGCTCAGGGGAACAGTGCTTCAGCCGAGCACAGGGCAGGGATGGTAGAGTCACCATCCTGGTGGGTGCAGACACGTAGTGGAAACAAGGTCCTGATGTCAGGACCCGAACTAAAAAGTCTTGCCTAATACACTTAAGTAAAACACAACAGACTGTGGAAAGGGTTTTGCATTGGAATTCCGGCCCTGCTGCTTATGCCTAGATGTCTGGAGTGAACAGCACCACTGCAACCTACTGGTTATTGTGGACCTCAAGGAAAGTTATCCATGTGTTGTGCAAATAGACACTATTACTTTTGTTTTGTACCAGGGATTGAACTCACAACCTTGTTCTTACCAGGCAAGCATTTGAGCCACTGAGCTAAATCCCCAGCCCAACACTTAATATTTGAAATGTGTATCTGTATGTGGGTACTAGGTTTGTCATAAGTGAAAGCCTTAATGAGTCCTTGGTTAACCCTGGTAAAGCCCTAATAACAGCTCCTCCAACCATCTTCCTTCATGTCTGCACTTGTTTTCCCTAAAGAAATCATAAAAACAAAAATTCTCCCGTCTCTACAGATTACTTCATTCTTTTTATAGTTAGTCTACAATTTGGTTCAGAGTATTCTGTCATAATTTTCTTCTCAGGCACCCCTGTAGCTATTCCAGTTCTTGCCTGTCTAAGGTGTCCAGTAGGTAAGAACAAGTGCCAAAAGTTTCACTTGGAAGCAGTGGGGAGAGTCTGTAAGGAATTGGACATATTTACCAAGTCACTGAGAAGAAACAGTATCATCCAGGGCTGGACCCTTCTCACTATTGGCCAACAGGAGGTGTCTTTTCTCTTCAAAAGCAGTGTTTTTTTCTCTTCAGAGCCAGTTCTAGCATTGTCTCATTTCTGTCACTTGCATGGTAATCCTAGCTCACCTAGTGCTTGAAGTAACTTCAACCTCACACAAAGCTGCTCCTTTCTCCTTCCCTGGTCCTTATCACTGAGTACAGGGCTCCTTAACTCTGCAGTGTTTTGTTGCTTAGCTTTGCCCCTGTACTGTATACAGAAGTTCTATCCAGACGGATATGGGAGGAAGAGCGGAAGAAAGGAAAGTTAAAGGGATCAAGATGTGTTTTATATACATGTACCAATTTCCCACAATAAATACATTTACTATGTGTCAGAAACATACTAATAAAAATTCTCAAAAGTCCTTAGGACTGTGTATATTATTTAATCATATTTTTGAAAATGAAATCAAGTGCATAAAATAGGCAAACCCATAGAGATAAAAAGTGAATGTGAGATTGGAAAATAGGAAATGTTTCTTTTTGAGGTGGTAAAAATGTTACGGAATTTGATAGTGGTATGGTGTGCACTATGAATAAAATGTGGCAGTATACCCTATTAAATGATCACTTTCCCCGCCTACACTGCAAAGTCGGAGACCATTATGGTACTTCACAATTACACCACCCTTTGGAGTTGAAGCGATGATCAGAAACATGATTATATTTAAGATGCAATGTAACCCTGTGAAGTCAGGTTCTTCCTGGTTTGCAGATGCAAGACTGAGACCTGTGTGGTTCAAAGGCCCTGCCTGGTGCCTGCATTACCATGTTGCTCTTGTGGTTCTCCTGGTAAACCTGCCTCTTTAGTGTCTTTCGCTTCCTATGCAGCTCCTGACTGTTACTCAGATTACCATTCATGGCACGTTCTAGTACTTACTGTGTTTGTAAACAGATGAAGGCTTCAGATGAGACTGGAAAAGTGAGTGAGAACTTGAATACTCTAGGAGAAAGTTACAGATTAACTAATGCCATTCACAGAATAACCAATCGTCTTGCAAACCTTTTCATCCCAAATGATTGGTTCCATGTCTACTGTCAACCTTGTCCTCTTCTCTGCTGTTGGAGTCACACTAGTGAGGCAATGCTAGTTAGAGATGACGGTGTTCCACGTCATGAAATCGCAAGGAAGAACAAGGGTGAAGGCCAGAGACACTGCAGAGCGGACCCCTCCCTCACTCCACAAGTGGGTTGCTTTTCTTATTTCTTTGCTAAGGAGTTCCTGTACACATATATGGGCTTCTTAAATACCTGGGAGTTGTGGGTGGGGGTAGGGGCATTTTAAGCTCACAATACATACACTTGGCAAGGGAAATGTCATCTCATCTCTTTTTTTTCCCTCCCTATACATTTCTTCAAATGTATGTCACCTTGTGGAACAGCATTCCAATCCTTTGACGACTTCTGTATATCATTCCACTTTTGAAGACTCTCATTCTCAATCATAATAGACTACATCTCCTTATGTCTCAGGAAAACCAACTCCGCCCCCATAAAAATAAGCCTACATTGGCTAATTCTCCTATAATCCTGCTAACATCTCCAGCCCTGTGCATGGGACACTGAACCTAGAACAAAAGTGTCATCTTGACTAGCGTTGGGGTGAGTTACTTCTATCTTTTTGTCTAATCTGTTACTTATTTCTTTTTAATTTTGATGTTGGGGGGTGGGGGAGAGGCTGTGAAAAGCTGAGGGAAGAAGAGACAGTGTGAGAAGGAAGTGTGTCAGTGGTGGAAATGTGGTCTCTGCTGTTTCATTGGTTAGATTTATAATCTTGTTTTACTTCTTTCTGCTTGAGGGCTTTGCACAAATTCCTTCAACTTAAAAGTCTCAAGTTTTGCAACTGGAAAATGCTAACTTCTGAGACTGGTTTCACATAGAGTAAAATGATGTCTGCAGAAAGCCTAACATGGCACCAATAAAATATGTTGAATATTCTTGTTCCCTAGTTCTGCTTTTTGAGGCAAAGGAAGAATAAAAAGTGCTCATGAAATCACTGTTCAAGTAATAGGGTTTAAAACTGGAATGTCAGAGATCTTGTCTTTTGTTT